CCTTTATTTATATCTCTGTCAATATGCTCATTTCGTTAATCGTACGATGGCTGACTATATGGATTGTTAAACATTTCAGTGCTTCAATAACACTGTTCCGATGAACAAATCAACTACTATGATAACCGAAGTATATGTATAAACAGACAGAAATAACATGACGCAAAATAATAAAAAAATAAAAAATATAGTGATAATTGTGCATGAAACATGTACATGGATTTACAATAACAACAAATTGTTATTCGACATTAAGATTCCATACGATAATTCGACCGGTTTGCCATCTCAACCATTCATTTTCGAGATCCATCGCTAACCGATGCATGTCAGATTAAAGAGCCTCAATTGTGAAGCACAAAAGTTTGGCCGGCAACAGACAAGTCGCGCAGAAAAAAAATTTGAATCATTAGTCGTACACGAATCAGGTGGTATTCAGAGATGACACGATAGCAGAGACGAGGAACGGCGTTCGCGGTCTGACATACTGACTCGCTTTCCATTAACGCCGGCAACGACGCACTGACGCCTGCTGAGGAACTCCAAGCACGCTATACATATATCGTGCTTAGCGAGACGGGCCAATGTTACTTAGCAATACGAATAATAAAAGTAAATAACTTATTAATAGAAAATTATTTTTAACACATGTTATATGGTACTGCTTAACAAGTAAAATTCGATTTGTAGAGATATTCTTCACCTATGTCATGGATTTATGAACTATTCTCGAAATCTATCTAAATAAATATTACTGATACATAAAACGATTCTTAGACGATCGTGCTTTGGAATTTCTATGAGAACTACTGTCATCTGATAAGGCGGCTGAGCTTTTAAAACTCAAGTCTATATGACGGAATTTAAACATGCTCATTAGCGCTTTCACCATGAAGTTTCCGTCTCATTCAAAATTATCTTATACATATAAAATCCATGCGCAAGAAGAGAAAGTGAAATTTGTTTGTATATTTTTTTTTTGAGAAGATGGCAAACAAGTTGGCGGCGGTTCACCTGATGTTAAGAGATAGCCGCCGCCCATTGATATGTTCCACAGCCGTTGGGTTGCAGATGCGTTGCTACCTTTTAATAAAGTGGGCCCCGGCTACCTCATTCACCAGACGAAACGCAGAATTATAATATTTCCACTACACACCGGTCTTCAGTTAGGTCGTGATTAGGTCGTTGAGCCATTCGTGCAAAAGAGATGATTGTTGCGTGGTCCTACCACAAAAATTACTATTGACTATCATAATCGTGTCTTTTTATGTCAAACGATGTAAACTAAACCGCTAACGTTGCATCAAAAATCGCATTTCTTTCATATCAACATGAATCGAATTCAGAATAAGTACCAGCTAATCTTACACTGTATGAGAATTTTATTGAATTCTACATAGTAAAAATAAAAAAGATTGCAACCCGTCAACAAATAATATATCAGATTATATATAATATATCAACGGAATATATCAGCTGAATATATCAGATAAAATACATCAGCAGAAGCATTAGAAAGGGCGGACAAAAAGCTTAGTGTTTTAAATTACGACATTTTATACTATTCTTTCATTATAACTTAATAGTTATAAACTTAAAATTATTTTTTTTATAGGGAAAAGGAACAAAAAGTTTTTCGCCGCTGTGAGAATCGAACCTACGTCTTCGGGATTCGCGTTCTAGCCACTAAGCTAAACGGCTGATTGTCACACCGACGAAATTCTCAACGACCTTTATCTATATTGTTTTTTATCGTTTGAAGCTATAAACTTTTAATAAAAATTTCTTTTGCTAAGTTAAAGTTACCAGTTATATTTCGCTTCTACAAAATACGAGGGCGGGATGATAAGTAACTAGCCTAATAAGAAAACACTTAACTTTCCGTGATAAAATTAATTTTATTTTTCGACATACTCTCCATGACTCGTTCATACTCTCGTTCTAAAGCAGTAATGCCTTCCAGAAAATGATTTCTTTCGAGGCCTGCAAAATACTCCTTTACGGCGGCTATGACTTCATCATTTGTGGAAAATTTCTGCCCGCCCAAAAAAGTTTTGAGCTTAGGGAATAAGTGGAAGTCTGATGGCGCTAGATCAGGCAAATAAGGTGTGTGAGGCAGCAAATCATACTTCAATTCGTTGATTTTTGCCATAGCTTTAACACATGTGTGAACCCTAGCGTTGTCTTGGTGGAAGATGATTTTTTTTTTCACCAAACCTGGTCGTTTTTGCTGAATACATTGATGAAGCTTATCAAGAAGATTAGCGTAGTATTCACCATTAATTGTTTGACCTTTTGCAAGGTAATCTATCATCAAAATCCCATCTGCATCCCAAAAGACGGAAGCCATCACTTTTCCAGCCGACTTTACAGCCATGGCTTTTTTTGGAGCCGGGCAACCCGATTGAGTCCATTGTTTTGATTGAATTTTTGATTCTGGCGTGTAATGATGAACCCATGTTTCATCTGTTGTTACAAATCTACGTAAAAAATCGGCCTTATTACTCTGAAAACGGTCCAGACATTCTTTTGAGTTTTGCACCCGAATCCTTTTTTGATCGTGCGTAAGCAATCGCGGCACCCAACGGGCCGATAACTTTTTCATATTTAAAATCCTCACTTAGGATATGATGTACCCGTTCTTTTGAGATACCTGTAGTGTCAGCTATTTCAGATAACTTCAATCGTCGATCTGCTAAAATCATATCATGTACTTTCACGACCATTTCCGGAGTCGTAACGCTTTTTGGACGTCCGGGGCGGGCTTCATCTTGGACACATGTACGACCGCGTTTAAACTCAGCCACCCAGTTTTTTACTGTGGCATAAGAAAGAGCATATTCACCCAAAAAAACATTCTTTAACTCGTCATAGATATCTTTCGCCTTCATCCCCTTCATATGAAGAAACTTTATCACCCCTCTTTGTTCAATTTTATCCATTTTGAAAATAGTTGACGAAATATATTTTTAAATGACAAAAAACAATAAAATTTTCACGCCACCTAATTCAAATTTAGAACACAGGTGGCCAGAGATACGAATTTAAAAATGACATATATATTTTTTTAATTTTAACTTTTTAAATAGCAATGGCTAGTTACTTATCATCCCGCCTACGTATTTTCAAGAATTTAAGATTTATTTATTTTTAACAGTTTCCCAACGTACCAGTTCTCGTAACTATTTATAGCCAATTAAAAAGTCTCTTAGCTGATATTATTTTACGCAATGTTTCCTTGTCGTCTATCTTTACTTAATCCATGGTGATGATAAAATAGCGTGACGCATACAGCACTGTTTCAAAACGCATGCATTCAGACAATGGCATGGTAAATCCTACTGTGTAAGCTGTGGAGGATTTCGCAACACACACTCAAAATCATCTGTAACGATTGTGCAGCATTGTTGCCGCCATATCCGCTTCTTGGATAAGGCGTGCATTAGTGTACAACTAGTTAAGCTATTTCTTTTTAAAGCAATTAGGACAGTAGTTTTACGGTAGTAGGATCACGTAACAGTGTTCGCTGTGGCATGAATGCGCAGGTCTGTCCGCGTTAGTACCACGACCTCACAGAAGATCGGCGTGAAGTAGAAGTGTTGCACTTCTGCGTTTCGTCTGGTGAGTGAGGTAGCTCGGGCCTACTTTATTAAGAGGTGGCACCGCATGTGCAACCCTACGGGTGTTGCAAATATCCTTGGCAGGCGGTTATCACTTAACATCAGGGTAAGCCGCCAGCTCGTTTGCCACTTTCTCATATAAAAAATTACGCTAGAAAAGTTAGAAGCCCGCATAGATCAATTTTTCCTTTCAATATAGTTGGTGGTTTTTGTGTGTACATTGTGGTAATACAGGCAACATAGATATAATATTGACGTTAAATATAAGCAAAGAAATTTCTTATTGATTGAAATGGCGTCTGCGAAGACAACTTTTGGAGCGTAGATTTTTAAGTCACCGGGTTTTCGAAATTTAAATGAAATACAATTGTATTTTTTAATAAAAGGTGGTCTTAAAAGAAATTGTTACAAATCAAGTTGAAGCTTTATGGATTCTAAGATATATTATTTGGGGAAACTTTTAGATACTGAATAAGATTCGTTCCTGAATAAGGTCTCCAAGGCGTTAAATACAAAATTTTTTATATGTATCCATATGGTTCTATTATTTTAGCTTAAAGAAAAACATAAGTTATCTTCAGCAAAAGAAAAAATTGTGTATTCCCAGGTTCATTTGATATATTATAGTGTTTTTTATTTCACACATTAACGGAAATGAGGAACCCTGCAAACTGCTCGTAATATGCGACCCACTTTCCACACGTCAGCTAAGCACATGTTGCTTCAAAAGGACAATGATGCATTTGATTCTTTATTGCGATAGGATTACAGAATATATTGCCGTAAAACTTTACCGCAACGTTCATGGGTAATATAAGCCGGCATCTGCGTATATTAAAAACGCTCAACACATGCAAATGTGCTTAAAATACTAGCGAAAAATTATTTTGGTCGTAAGTGAAAGTGGTATTATGCAACTTTCTACGGACCGCTTCAAATCCAACGATGGCTGGAACGTGTGAAATATATCGTTAGTCGTTAATTTTCACTATTACTTTATTCTATTTGCCGCAGCCGTTAGAGCGGTCGTTTTACCGAAAAAACCATAAAGTAAATGCTTAACATAGATTTAAAAATGAGAAATCTGTACGTTAATTCTATTTTTAATCAAAATTCAATTTTAAGTCACAACGGGATAATTTCTAATCAGACAACCGTTTCCATATCAGGTACAGTACACACGGATCACCGATTATCACCACTCAATACCTGTAACATCCGTAAAACTTTCAGTACCTTTTCAGGCGGGTCTTCAGTGCACCGTGTGTCCGAAGAAACAGTTTCAGGATAACACGGCGAGCTACCGATCACTGTTCCAGAGTTCACAATATCACTGCCCGCTAATCACAGTCTGTGCTGTTCCCGCGTCACTCTTCGCGTATGCTATGCGCGGCGTGCGCCGTCGACACTGGTGGCGGATGCACTGGCCGCGCCGGCCGCGCCCGGCCAGATTTATACGCGCGAAAGTCGCGCCCGGCCGCGGCGGCGACTCCACCGCGCCTCTATCCCGGATCAGATTTTGGCGCTCCGGCGTCCGGCAGTCGCGTCCGTGACGTCAGCCACGACCTTGGATGCGTAGGAGTCAGGCAGAAGTGTGGGACACCTCCGGTGTTGCATAACAAAACGTCCGGCTACAATGACGACTTGTTGACAAGGAAAGTCCTTTAACCTACATACATAAATACATGTAGTATAAGTAATGTAGCATAAATACATATACATGCAGGCCAGCCACTGATTACGGATGTTCAGTTACCACGGTCTTCATATTCTTTTGCAACTTCTACCACCATTCATCACCGCTTACGTGTCCGTTAGTAGCGAAGCTCATATCAGCATCACTTAGTATATTGTCAATCTGGGGGCACCCCCTTAAATATTGATTTATCAAAAGGCCATAATATTTGGCCCGGTTAACGTAATGGACAGTGGACCTGTCTCCTGCGCCAGAGGTGTGGTCTTGGTAGTGTTTTTCTAATGTCTGGGTGTTTATATATTTTTTTTTCAGTTATGATATTTGTTCAACTAATGGCCCAACCTTGCCTAAAATTAAATGCAAAATATATCTATAACATGCATTTATTTACAAAATAAAAGTATGTTTAAGTATGTTACTAATAGGTAACAACTTAGCATCCATAGAACAAACTTTGCTTAGTTTTGGACTAGATAACGTTGTTTAAAAATATATCCTGAAATATTTAAATTAATTTATCAATCATCCACTAAGATTCAAGAGATCTATTTGAGAAATTACGGTAGGTGAACGAGGAACAGTTAAAACCTGATGTGATTGTTCCATTTTCGAGAAAAGGATTATTTTGTTTTTAGTATTATCACATAAGATTAAATTGTATAAGAATGCCAGGATGGGAACCATGAGGATCCCAAGATACATGCATCGCTACCAACTTAGCTTAGTTCTAATAAAGTTGAAAAAAAGATCTCCCTTAAAGTAGAAAGTAAATCTGAATAATATTCTATACTTTTATCCGCTGATTCTTTAGAAGTCTTTAATTACTAAACAAATGCTTCTTAACATGAACTTGAGTAACTTGTATTCATGTTATTTAGGTCATCTTATTATTCCGGATATAATGAAGAACATAAATGGTGCTTAACAAAACCTTAAAGTTTTAATATCATACCAGTTGAAAAAAACTCTGTTGTGGCTAGAAGCATTTTAACAACGATGTCATTAAATAGACGAACTGAGAGTAACGATAAGTGCATACAAAAGATTTCAACGCAATCAACTTCTTGTCACACTATGTGAAGCTACAGAATATTACCTACTTCATTTATTTATACTTATAAACATATTTATTAAAATAGCAGGTTGTAGAATGGTATATATTCAACACATACAAGATGTCGAACTATGATTAAAGTATAATAAGAAATAATGTTGGGGATGACGATAAAGTTATGAATAAACCAATTTTTATAGGATAATAAATTTATTGGCGCTATTCTCTGCACTGAACAAGAAATTTGAAAATTTTGTAGAAAAATAGACGAATTTTCACCGCTGCGAGGATTTGAGGGATACACGCCCGACGCTCTAGCCTCTGAGGTAAACGGCTTATCTTCACACCTACGAAAATCTCAAGGTATTTCATCTAGTTTTTGATTATATACATTTTTAAGCAATGTTTTAACGTCATCTAGTAGTGAAGTAATTAACTTAGGACATGATTTGTTGTGCTTCGGTGAGCCTACGTGTCTTCAAATGTAGTCTATTACTCTTGTATGCAACACAGGTTCAACTCGCACATATATTTAGAGGCAACAGCAGTTTAGTTGAATAAATACTCTACAAGAGCCCCCTACTTTACTACAACACTGCTCTTATATACGAGTATGTTAACTTAAACAATGGCGTTCTCTCCAAATCGCGTCAATCGCGATTGCATGGGACGCTTAACATTTCAAGTATCAAGCAATTGTACTCGCGAGCATTACTCGCGATCGTTCACCCCCCAACGTGTCCAGATTAAAACAGAAAGTGATACTCGACGGATTCGTGCACTCACAATGGGCAATTTATTCGATTTCACTGTTTCCGCCAATTTCATATTTCGAGCTGGCGTGGTTGTGACGCCATCTGTGGTTACGCGCCCTGAGATGGCTTCGTTACGCGTCTCATTCAGTGCTCATTCACTTATGAGTGAGACCGGTATACTTCACTACATAAGCATAAAATAAAGTCGTCCCGCCGTCTGTCTGTCCCTATGTATGCTTAGATCTTTAAAACTACGCAACGGATCTTGATGTGTTTTTTTTTAATAAATAGAGTGATTAAAGAGGAACACATATCAGGGCATTGTCCACCACGCGGCCTGACTGCGGATTGGCGGACTTCACATACCTTCGAAATATTTTTCTTTATTATTATTTCGTAAATATGCAGGTTTCCGATGTTTACCTTCACCACTTTCGTTTCACCATTTCGATAATTCAGCACTTGAAATTAACAATTTCATTGGTGCCGGCACCGGGGATCGAACTCAGGTCGCTCGAGTATATTGAATTAAAGGCGAGCGCCAAGACACTGAGCTATAACAAAACAAATTTCTAAAAACATATGACGTCGATTCTTGGAATGGTTGTCTTTCACACTTTGAATAATGAAAGCATACCCTATGTAGCATATTTAATTCGTATATAAACGCCCACGTCTATTTTATCCAAAATTGAAAATTAACGTGGCAAAATGTTGTAAACATCTTGCGTCATATCAAACATCAACGTTATAAACTTAATTATACAATCTATAAACCGTCGTAGGACAAAACTAGTCGACTTTTATACTTAACTTTATACTTTAACTTTTATACTTTTCTAATTTAACAAAAAACTAAGAGAAATTTTAATTTTTGTATTTTGAAAATGCTGATTTTATGTCTATTCAATTTACTGTTACTTCGTGTTAATAACATGGACATCGATGGCTTTCATTATGGCGAAAACATAAAGTCAAAGCGAAAAAAAAATTAGTGAAAAGCATGGTTCATCCAATTTTTACGAAGGTCATTTAAAAAAAGATGAAGGTGCCTAATAATACTTCTAATATTTTAAGGATCGTTTATTTCAATGTTTCGTGGGAGTAAGCGATGTAACTCATTTATGTCTTCAGAAAATACTTGTTGAAAAACTCATTATTCATGCTGATTTGATCCGTCACTGCAAACATAACAAAGCGAAACAGCCATTTGTCTCCGCCCTATTTGTACAGTTAACCGCATGTCACTTTCGCTCGCATCACTTTGTCAGTGCCAAGTTCCTTTGGTTCCGCGCACATGGATCCGCTTTGCACAATGCGAAGAAACGTACGCCACGCGAACGGAACACGGTTCGAATTCGGACTACCTTAGTCATCGCGCAAAATCTGTCGTCTATATGCAAAGCCCGTACATGCGACATTTACATTGATGCTTCCTATGAGACGTCACATGACCCAATCGGGATCCGAATTAATACGAATTTATTCTTATTAATCTGCACACGAATAAATAATAATATAATAGTTAATATAAAAAAACATAGTTAATATAAAAAAACATAGTTAATATAAAAACTACAAAGGTATTTAAAATTGTCTTTTATCTAAAATAACTGTTTGATCAAGTGTGCGGGAATTCGATGGATGTAGGTCGTTTAGGACCGTGCTTCGTGACAGTCTGTGGGGGAGGCCTGTTTAGCAGTGGACTCAAACACCTTGAAATGATGATGATAAACTGTTTAATCTAAAACTATCTTAATTTATAGTATTTAACATTTATTCATTCGTTACTTGTCAACGACTCCAACCTAATCAACGACGGTTCTTGATTTCAGCGTATGTCAACATATAAAAGTGTGTCATGTTTTTATATAATAGTTTGCCACTTAAAATTGGTTCACCACAAATTTTCACTAAACAATGTTTTGACAAAACAATGGCTGCGCATCTACTCAATGATTTTAATTCAAGTAGGAATTAAATTCATGTTGAAATAATCAGTTCTATTGAGTTAATTTCGTTAACGATGTTTTATGTTTGATGTGTCTATGTATGTAAATTAGTAAACAAATAAATTAAGTGAACCCTTGACCCTAAACGGGCTTTTGTTGTGTAATTAAATGCGTCAAAGCGGTCCTTCCGAGGTGGTTCCGATTATCCAACGCTGCGCGGCGTCGAGGCGGACTCAGCCGGAATGGGGGCGGACCTCGCTCGTTTCGTAATATAATACCCGACGGTGCTCCGAAGAAAGTGAGAGCGCACAACGCAGACGGATGTAGGGAACTCCAGGGCCATTTGATATTATGAGCGAAACATTTTCTCTGCATGATCATTCGACGTGACTAATTGCAAGTTAATCTCTATTTTTACTGCCCAATTACTTAGTTACGTGTATGTCTATGGTATATATACTTTTTGTTTAACGTATACTTTATGAACCGACTTCGAAAATGGAAGAGGTTCTCGATTCGGTTGTATTTTTGATATTGATTGGATCTTGGACCCCGGAGATATGTCAGGTGACTCCTCGCAATCAAATAGAGAATGTAAAGCGAGATATTTGAAGTCGGTTTTTTTATGTTAGTGAAAATGTACTCGTCCATTATTAATATTCATATATTTATTAAAAATTTAACGTCATTATATTTTAATATCTTGTGCTTGCAATGTAATGATTAAGTAATTTAACGCCCATGATAATTGTAAAAATGTGGTCCATATATACTATCGATGAAAGATTTAGGTTAATTAATTTACTTATGTTATATTGTTGATGATTTTAATATTCATGTGCCTAAATAAATACTTTAAAAATATACTGATATTTTTTAAGGAAGGAAGTTTAATATCGGTATAGTGGTATTTCCTTTTGTTTCTTACGGGTATGTGTTAAAACAAAAGATAATAAAACATTGCAGTGATTATAGGTTATTAGTTACAATACCTGAAAAAGAGGTTCTCTAAAGTGTGAAACTGATTACTTTTTCCAATTAGGACTCCATTAAAAAATTTATTTTAGGAAAAAATAATATCTTGGTTTTGTACAGTTTCCAACAGGTCAAATCTAGATGTAGGTGTCTAATTTACAAAGCCCAAGCAAATGTCTCTATCAAACATATTTTTTATATTGTCATTTAAAGAATTATTATAACTTAAATTA